ATTTTAAGGGCAAATTTGTCAAATCAAATTTTATATAATTCGATTCATAATCCCTCACATTTCATAACATAAATTTTTTCGTCCCTTACATTTCACAAAATGAATTTTTTCATCCTTCACATTTTTTAAAATGAATTTTTTTTTTATCTTTGATTGCTCATGTGTGTGAATAATTTTTTTAAAATCCATGTACATATTTATTTGATTTCACCTGAACAGTACGAATACCATGTGAAATCAAATAGAGATATATTACACACTATTCGTATTGTTCTAGTGAAATCAAATAAATATATACATGGGTTTAAAAAATTTGTTAGTTTTTCACTTATATTCATTTTCTTTTACTCGAAATTTGAAAATAAAGAACACATTTAATCCTAAATATTATCGAGTGATTATATCGAATTAAATTTGGATAGAAAAAGTAAACAAAAGAAAAGTATGACAAAAAAAATAAGTGATTGGCACTTTCAAATTTTAACAAAATCACAAGGCAAGTAATCCAACTGTTGGTCTTCAAAGTGTCGAGTAGAAATTTCAGATTTAAACTGAAATATGTTAGCATAATTATAGAATTCGAGTTAGGACCCATTAATTAGATGACCTTATTATACAACTTAATAAATAAATTATTACCAAAAGAGAAATGTCACAAATATTGAATAGGTTCAAATGGTGAAATCATATAAATATATACATGGGTTTCAAACAAAATTATTAGTTTTAAACTCATATATATATCTATTGAATAGCATGTGTATAACTACGATTAGCATGTTTAGATGAAATCCAATAGAGATAAATTACATGTTATTCATACTGTTCAGGTAAAATCAAATAGATATATACGTGGGTTTATAGAAAAAAAGTTATTCGTATACATGATTAATGAGAGATGAAAAAATTCATTTTGAAAAATATGAGAGATGGAAAAATTCATTTTTTCAAATGTGAGGAACGAAATAACTCATTTTGTAAAATGTTAGGGATGAAAAAATTCATTTTGTGAAATATGAGGGACTATGAATCAGATTATGTAAAAATTTGATTTGACAATTTTGCCCTTAAAAAATGATCACATGCAAGTCACGTGGTGGATTCCGGTGAAAAACTAGTCGGAAACCTAGGTAAGGACCAAATTTGGTCAATATGAATTTGTAAGGGACGTAAAATTACACTTTTAAAAGCGAGAGACGAAAAAAGTCATCTTGTAAAATGTGAGGGACGTTTTGAACGATTTTTCCTTTCTTTTTTTAAAAATATTTAATTTAAATTAAATAGATAACCTATCGATTTCCTTTTTGTAAGAATATTACTATAACACTTTTACTTTCAAATATTGATATATTTATCATAAATTAAATGTTTGAGCGTAAAATGCCCATAAAGAACCGGTACTTTAAATAGGTAACATATTTGCTCATAAACTACACCCCTTAAAGTTTATTAATTGTTAATTGATTTGTAATACTTTATCATTTATTTGCTAATACTGCTTGACATGTAGCACAAATAGCAAATTTGGTACAAACTTCTCATTTCACTCCCTAAAACAATATTTTAATCGCTTGGACTGAATTTGTAAAGAATTAGTATGTTTAGGGGAGGTCAGTGCAAGTGTTAGAAACCTCAAGGGAGGTTTCTGCAATTTTCCCTACATTAAAATGATTGAATTGATGGTTCAGATGTTTGAACTGATAAAGTCAAAACCAATCACTCATTTTGTTCATCACTGGTCTGCGTTTCAAAATATTTTTAACTATTAAAGTTGTTCAAAATGTGGAATACTTTGAAAAAAAAATCCTCCCTGAATTTTCTAGTAATATCATTTTGCGCTTAGTGCCCCTATAGTTCTAAAAGTATCACTTACCTTCCCCACAAGTGAAATGTGACAAAAATTCACGAATACAATAATCTTGTTTCTTTTTCTCCACAAAACCCTCAATGGACTTTTTCTCAATTCCCTGTATCATTAAATTAACTCCAGCAAGAACTAAAAATAGCCTCCATCTTGAGTTGTCATCTGGAAAATTGATGAAAAAGTTTTTGGCAACTTCAAAATACAATAATAAAGCAAAAATAAATATAACATACAAGAATCATGTTGTTTGGCCAATTGACCTATGCCACAAGTGAAAGAGCAGCGAGTTCACCGTAAAGAAGAGAGTATAAAATCATAAGTTTTAAAGTACTAAATACTAAAAATTTAAAAAAAAATTCTAGATATAACAAAAGGCTCAACAACCTAAAAGAGGTCCAAATAAGCTTCTCTAGCTCTTTCGGTTGGCAGTGGCACTTCTCAAAAATCTGTCTCTTAAATTGCGGCCTAGGGCCTCCCGAACCTCTCTTGATACACTAACGGACTGTCCAGGCTTGCTATCAGTACTTTTTCACAAGAAAGTCCAACAAAGAGTTTGGCACTACCTTTTCTTACCTTTTCTATCTTATCAGGTCTTCCATTTGCAACAAGTTCTCTTTATTACAACCCATGAATCCTCCTCTTTCCAGGTTTCAACCCATTTCTTTTATTTTGGTCTTGGTTGCTGGAAACTAGGGTCTAACATATTTAGCCTTTTTGCTTTTTTTTTCCCCCAATTTACTACTGCACTTTATCTTTTGTGGAAAGAGAACAAGATAGCCTATAAACAATATGACAATTTGAATTTTCTTGTTCTTTTCCTCTATTCCAAAAGAAATATTCAAATATGCCAATATAGTTGAGGGTGAAATAGTTGATTTGGTGGTTACTGCTCCTGGGGATATTATATCAAACCCGAAAAAACAAAAGGGTAAAAGGAAAAACAAAACTGTGTAACAAGTAGGCATAACCTCGTTGATTCTCAGCTAGAACAATCCTATTACTTCTAAGATTGGATAATCTCTCTGTTTGCCTACAAATTTTTAAGAGTTTTAAAAACAATACAGTTTTTACAAAAAAGGGGCAAATGGACGGTTAAGTGTAGATATCCTACATTTATATCAACAGGAAAAATATAAAACTAAAAAAAATAATTTAACCAAACCAATTGACTAATAATTTTTATAAATACATATAAATTGTTGCTCTATATTTACTCAGCTTTCTTGTTTTTATTAATACTCATTCTCAGTTAGATGCTAGATACTTATATAAGCATTAAGCATACTTAGAGATGTGGCAAAAGATAAACTTCTATCACGGTTGAAACTCCTTTAGATTTTCACTTAGAATGTGCCAAATTAAATGAACATCCCAACACAGCAAATTTGGCAATTGAAATACATATTTTCTTTTTTATTTTAAATTCAAAAACAGATGAAAGAGATAATAGGAAAGAAAAGGTCACATTGAGTGCCTAAATCTCCGAAAAATGTAAGGACGTATTTAGTATTGGATTTCCTTTAACAAAAAATAAATAAAAGAATGAAAACTTTTTTTTACAAATAGCTAGATAGATAAATATACCAATGTTTTGCTCCAAATCAATTGCTTTTCTATAAAGAAATTTATATCAACAACACTCTATTACTAAATATAACCTCAAGGTTGATTTTTTTCGCTATCTTTTGTTTAGTTCTACAAAGTTTAAGCAATTAGAAAATTGAGCTCTTCCTAAAGGCATGAGTTTAATTTATTTATTATGCCTTCAGAGTATGGGGCTCCAAGAATCACATTACTTGGTGTAATTGGGTTCCAAGGTAGCCAGTTGATTTTGAGTTCTCACGTTGATCTAGCATGGCAAGAAATTTTCTTCTAAATGTAGCTTCAGTAAACTTCTAAAATCCATCCACAAGAACTCATTTTTGATAAATGATAATTATGTAAAATTTAAATTTAAAATTCAACTTTTACACATATGTCATAGTTCTAACAGTAATAGTTTATACACTGTCAGTATATATAAGATTTACTCTTTTTGTAAAACGTTTAATTTTAATCCCTTTCCTCAAGTATTTCCTTCATTCATAATTTTATTCCTTAAAAGCTTTTAGATATTCTTCTTTAGTTTTCAAAAGTTTCTCCTGGAGAGTTTTCTTAAAATCGCAGCAATTAATCACGTTGAACAAGAAATTGATATGCTAATCTTCTTTAGTTTCCAAAAAATATTGTCAAAGAAATTTGTTAAACTTCTTTCTAAACAATTTCTTTTTACACTATTGCTCAAGGAAATCTGCATACGTGCTCCAAAATTAATTGATTGCCAAAGAAATTTCTAAAACCTCTTTACAAACCATTTCTTTCCAACTATTGCTCAAGAAAGTTAACAAAATCTGAGTTTAATATATTGTATATTTCTAAAGTAAAAACCCATTCTTGCTGTTACATTGAATTACATAAATAGCCACAATTATCATAAACAATGCAAAGCTAAAAAAACAACATTGCATACCGAGGGTATTATCGGAATATGAGATCTAATGCGCTAATCCGCTAATTTAAACTCTTGCTCTTAATATATTATAGATAAGTTGTAGCTCTATAAGCATTTAATTAGAGCTACACGCTAGCCACAATATTGTAGCAGGAAGACTCTGGCTATTTCTTGATTGATTTACACTATGATTCAAATTAGACAATTAGTTTGGAAACTTGAAAGCCATAAGCCAGCAATTGTTTAAGAACAATATTGAAATTAATGCAGAAACCATTACATGAATGTTGTAATCTAATTGCTGATGTGACTGCAAATTTGAGCTCGAAATGGGAGGAATCTTACTTCAATTTGTTCATAAAAAAAGTGACAAAATCGGTACACGCATGGCCCCAATAAAGCATCAGATTCGGAGGAATCTTTGTTTGGCGCTACTGAAGTTGCTGGGAAAGTTCTGAAGCACCATATCTTCTGTGAACAAGATAGTGTCTTGCAATATTTACACAAAAAGTGGGAAAAAAAAGGTCCAGCCTATTGTTTGTTGGCTATTGTTAGATGAGAAAGTTTTGGATCCTGAACTGATTTTATTGAGTAGCTGCTAAACCAGATAAAAATCTAATATCAGAGTGAAAAGAAGATATGATAATGGAGATCCCCTCCAGCAGTAACGCCAATTGCTTTGATTTTGCTTTATATGATTATCTGCAGTCGTATCACATCTCCTCCAGCACTAGCACAAGTTGCTTTGATCTTGCTTTAGATATCCTAGCCGAGCTTGAGAATGGGTACATATTTCCCTGGCGCTTCGAGACCCTGAAGAAGGAGGTAAGATTAATGAAAACCTGTTTTCTGTATGTCAAAAAGTGTAGGAGGAGGAGGAACCACGAAGCGCTTTTGGAGCATGATCGCGAGGACAGGTGTAATATTATGTCTGAAAGTTTGAGACGTAGTATTATTTGCTTCAGAATTCAAGATGTGGCTATCAGGATGATTCAAGAACTTCAGCCTGCTTATTTTCGATGTATTCAATCTAGTTATCACTTTGACATCATTGAAAGTGCGGTTACCAGATCCAAGGAAAAGATCAAAATGTTTCTTGAGACAGATCTCAAGAAATCATGCGCCGCCATCTTCATCGACTATTACTCACCAGGAGATCCACGACTAGTTATGGATCTTATTATGTGCCTTTTAGAGACTCTGGATTGCGTTTTACGTGATAGGGAGCTAAGGGATACAATTAGACACAGGCTAAAACTCTTAAGGAATCTCATTGGCGTTGTGGCAATGCAAGGTTTTGAATGTGCACAACTGACAGATCTCTTGACCTACACTGTAGTTGCAGCTGGATGCCTGATTTCTGTATGTAAGTTTTACCGTGATGATGATGCACGAGTGCTCGATCGAATGGAATCTGAAATTTGTCAGCTGATACAAGAGAAGATCAATCTTCTTGATCCCCAAGTCCGAGAAACTTTTGTCCATTTCCTGACAGCTTCAAAGAAACAACCAAGATCATCATATGATTTAGCCCTTCAGAAGAATGAGGATCCAATCGTAGGCCAGTTTATTGGTTCTCTCCGTGATTATCTTATGGATCTACTCTGATCTTATGCCAGTTTCCAGGTTCCAGTGAAGGATCAAATACTAAGACTCCATGAGGAAATAAGATGCCTGGCTATCGTTCTTAAACAGGAGGAGAAACTAGGTGATGAAATAAAGGATCTTATTGGAGTTGTGGTCTCTGATGTAGGAATTTTGACCTTCTCCCTTTCTGTCAATGAAATCAAAGAAGGCTTGCCTGAGGAAAGAGATCTTGGGTTGTTTCATTTGCACAAAGTTCTCAAATATATGGTGGCAGAGGTTGCACACAATTTTCCACTAAAATCACCATATTTATCATTTAATTATCCTAGACCCAATGAGTTGGGCTGTATGGATTCTTTCCTAGAAAATCTCAAGGAACTAGCAAGGTGTGATGAGGATGATGATTCAATTGGTTTTCAACAGGATAGAATCCAAATGATCCAAAAAGATCTCGTATTCTTAAGATCTTTCCTGGAAAATATCAAGGAGAAGCGCTATCAGAATGGAAAACTTCAAGCTTTCTGGAGTCATGTTATGGAGGCTGCATACAAGGCAGAGTTACTGATTGACTTGGCACTTGTTGGTGATAAATGTGAAGATTCTTTGGATGTTGTTTCTAGAGATATCAATCTTTTGAAGATTGAGGCCCCAGAGATCCATAATGGTCAAACCCAAAGAGTTAACAAGACTTCCCTTCACATACCATCACAACTTACCATCGCCATGCACGACAAAGATCTGGTAGGTCTCAAAGATGAGGTGGAAACTATTACTCATCGGCTTACGAGAGGATCAAAGCAATTGGATGTTGTTCCCATTGTGGGTATGCCAGGCCTTGGTAAGACCACATTAGCCAATAAAATTTATAATGCTCCTTCAGTTAGGTCACATTTCCATGTTCGTCGTTGGTGTCGTGTTTCTCAAACATATAGCATACACAGTTTGTTAGTTGAGCTTTTGTGTAGTAGTTCTTCTGAGAGTTCTGATGAATATCATAAGATGGATGAAAATGATTTGGCCATGAAGCTAAGGCAGGTTTTGCTGAGAAGTAGGTATCTCCTTTTTTTGGATGACTTGTGGGACATTGAGGCATGGAATTTGTTGGAAAAATCACTGCCGAATGATGCCAATGGAAGCAGGATTCTCTTCACTAGTAGATACCAGGATTTATCTTTGCATTTCATACCTAATAGCGAGCCTCACCATCTCCGCCATCTTAATGATGAAGAGAGTTGGGCATTGCTACAGAGAAAGCTATTTGGCATGGAAGATTGTCCTCCAGCACTAAGTGAAGTTGGATCTCAAATAGCAAAACTTTGTCAGGGCTTACCCCTCACAGTTGTCCTTGTTGCTGGAATTCTTGCTACTACTGCACAAGATAGTTGGGAAGAAGTTGCAAAAAGTCTAAGTTCTATTGTCCTTGAGGATGAATACTGCATGAAGGCACTTGAGCTGAGTTATAGTCATTTACCAGATTATTTGAAGACATGCCTTTTGTACTTTGCTGCATTTAAAGAAGATGAGGTTATTTATGTGCGAAGGTTGTTACGGCTTTGGATCTCTGAAAGATTCATGCAACAGGCTGAAGGAAAGAGCTTAGAGGAAGCAGCTTATGACTACTTGACGGCTCTAATTAATAGAAGTTTAGTTATGGCTGTCGGACAAAGAACTGTGGGTGGTGCCAAATATTGTCTACTTCACGATTTGGTACACGAGTTTTGTGTGAAAAAAGCCAAAGAAGAAAGTTTTCTATATGCTATTCATAGTTGGAACCCTCTTTGTCTTACTGGATCAAGCAACCCCCACCGAGTTTGTGTCCGCAATACCAGAGAATTGAAGATTTGGGAGTTAACGCTTATTTTTCCCAATTTACGCTCTTTGATCTTGTTTGGACAAGATTATTTTAAACATGAAGAGGAGGATTTGGGTATTTTGTTACCTAAACTTCTCAGAGTGTTGGATTTCGGGAAGTTGGGCTTTGATTATTCTTTTCCAATGGAAGTAGTGTTGCTTGTACACTTGAGATATCTGGCGCTCAAAGGAGTAACATACATCCCACCTGCGATAGCCAATCTCTCAAGGTTAGAAACTCTCATCGTAGAAGATCCGTGTCTTGGTATTGAGCTGCCAAGTACTATTTGGAACATTAAGACATTGAGTCATCTACGTGTTTTAAATTATGATGGAGTATGGCCAATGGGTTTTATTTTTCCACTTGGAAATCTTGAAGGATCCCTAGATTTAGATCATTTAGACACTTTAGACCTTGCAATTGATCCCTCCCCTCAAAGCTTGCAAAAGATACTGAGAAAGTTACCAAGCATTCGCAGGATAAAATGTATGGAACGACCAAGAGAAGCTACCAGAAATTGCAACGAGATTCTTGAGTTTGACGGTTTGAGTCAACTAGAATCACTTCATTTGTTTGGTTTTTGTGGATGTGGATTTAAATTCCCGTTGAATTTGAAAAAGTTGGCTCTCTCAAATAATGGTCTGCCATGGAGTGAAATTTCAACAATTGGAAAGTTGCCCAATCTTGAAGTGCTTAAATTAATTGAGGATTGCTTTGTTGGGGAAGAATGGGTAATGAAAGAAGGGGAGTTCCCTAAACTCCGAGTCTTAAAATTGTTAGGGTTGGAATTTCGCAACTGGACTGCATTTTCTGATAATTTTTCCCGCCTTGAGAAATTGGTCTTGTGCTCGTGTGAGGAGCTGGAAAAGGTCCCTTCTTGTTTGGGGGAGTGTGAGACTCTTGAAATGATTGAGGTGGAAGGGTGTCATGCGTCTGTTATAGATTCTGTAAAGGAAATTCAACAAGAACAGATGGATATGGGCAATGTGGATCTAATGATCAAAATTTCTATATTCATTTCCTCAGAAGAAGATGTTGGATCCTTAATCCAACATTGGACTTATATGTGAATAATTATGTATTGCAAACTGTCAATTAAGGTTTAACCCAATTAAAGTGATCAAATATAGTTTGGGTTTAATGTATCTAATAGGATATGGGCCCTTTAATGTGTAGAAACTTATGGGCTCCTATTTCAATGATGGGCTGAAATAGGGCTCCAAAAGGTAACAGGAATGTTACCTATAAATAGGGTTATGGTCCCCAGGTCACAGGTATCGTTTTAGTTGTAGTATTTCCTAATACCACAAAATATTTCTTCCCTGATATCCTATCGTCAGGAAAGATACCAGAGAGAAACTAAAGGCCTCTCTCAAAGGATTGGTGAATACCTGTTGACCTGGAAGGCCACCCCAAATCCCAAGGGATTCAAGTGTCGAATTTATCAATATGGATTCAGGTACGCTTCCGCTATTTTACAGTTAATATATTTCTTAATAATCACCATACAGATCTTGGGTTTAAAGGTGATGGTTTTCACCAGTGGTTAAATTTAGATAACCACCCTAACAAGTGGTATCAGAGCCCATATGGTTGATTATTAGGAAATAATTTGGATTTAGTTATTTATAGTAAATTTGTACGGCTGATTTAGTGATTTGCAGCCTTGGTTGCTGATGGTTGATAATTGGATCCCTTTTTGATAGGATATAATTTGTTAGTAATTTTATTATTAACTTCCCCTTTTATCTCTGATAAATATTGTGTTAATTGCTGATAATTACTCATATTTGGTATCTGGACTTAATTGCAAGAATGAAGCAGAAAACTACCAAAAAGGAGGGACTTTATGGAGAATATGGCGACTTCCAAGGGCTTCAATCCTTGGGCCCTTGGATTGGTGGGGACCACAAAGCTATAAGTCATTTGGGCTTCAAAGAAAGCTACAGAAAGAGACTTGGAACAAGAAGTACTTGGAAGGCTTGGTCCACATGTGTGGGGACCACCTAGATAGCCTTTAATCATCTTTCTCTTGTTGCTTAAAGAGGGATAACGTAGAGTAGCAGAGGATCTGGAGTTTTTTCCGTCTTTTAGTTTAGTTTTAGTTTTGCTTTCTCCTGACTGGCCTCTGACACACGCCAGGTGTTCGACAATATTCCCCAACGGGAAAAACACCTTTTATTCCTTGTTTCTTAATAGAAAACGCAATGCCTTTGCAATCTATTAATTCGTGTGGTAATTTAATTATGCGGCGTGGCTAAGTCTTCTATCTAGTCAAGGGTCAACTCAACGGTGCAGTCCCGAAAATCTGTGAGATCTAACTAGTTTTCACGCGTTCCTTTATCTATTAATATTTGCATGTTGCCTGATTTAATTTTCATGGGATTATTTTATTGATTGGATGTCAAGGGCCCGATGTTCAATGTGATTTATTAATCTCGTGCCAATTTAGTCAATTAAATCCGTAATTGTTTGATTGATTAATATTAGTGGCAGCTGGTGTGTTTACACATTAGGGGAACGTGCAATCTAATTTAAATAACCCTCGTAGCGTGTTATTGGTTAGGGCTAGGTTTTTCTGGTTATTAATGCAATTGGAAAATTAATTCCTACGGTCGTACCTAGGAGTACTTTTCTGGTTAGGGATGATTAATGGTCGTACCTTGGTCACCTATAAATTAAGGAAAAATTGATCATTAGAGTTCATCAATGGCTATAACTAGCCTGTTTATAGATTAAGTGAACCTCTCTTGCATCAATGATCGGATAAATGGACTGTGCCTGAGTAGTTGTAACCTTGGCTAGAATTTATTTATTCCTGATTAAATTCCTGCTATATTCGTGCTAGTTATTTATTCATTTTTAGTTAAATTGTTTAATTGTTTTTAGTTTTATTCCAGTGAAATCCCCCCTTGTCAATTGAACTTTAAAAGAGACAGTTATCTCCAGTCCCTGAGGAGACGACCCTACTTGCCACTGTCTACTATTTAGTAGTTTTTGTCAACTAATTAATTCTGGTATATCGGGTTAAGCAAACTCTTCGGGAACAGGGTGAATCAAGTAACCCATTGCACACCTAGAGTCCCTGCTCCAGTACCTAGGATTAATTATTGACTGCTTTTAGTGGTAGTTAGGTTCTATATTTATATTTATTATTGCACAGGCTGACGACCTGTCAATTTTTGTCGCCGTTGCCGGGGACTGGCGTTATTATTTGTTTCTTTTTAAATTTCATTTTTGCTCTAATTTTCTGGTATTTTTCTAGTGTATGCCTAGGTCTTCTCGTACAGGTGAATTGATTTTTGACCCTGAAGTAGAGAAAACCGCGCGTAGAACAAGAAAAAAAACCAGACAGCTCAGAGAGGAGCACTCTAGTGCTACGTCTCAGAGACCTGAGCCCGAAGTTGAACCAGCAGATTCGTTTGGTGACGCTTCAAGTGATTCTCACCAAGAGGACGTCGACATGGCAAACACACAAACATTAAGGGAGTTGGGTGCTCCAAACTTGACCCAACAACCTCTTTGCATAACTTTTCCTCGCCTTAGTGAGAATGCAGCTTTTGAATTAAAACCTGGTTTAATACATTTGTTGCCTGTTTTTCATGGTCTGCCAGGAGAGGAACCCCACAAACACATGCAGGAATTTGACGTGGTATGTTCGAGTATGAAGCCTTCGGGAGTAACCGATGAACAAATTAAATTAAGGGCCTTCCCTATTTCTCTCAAGGATTCGGCAAAGGACTGGTTATACTGTCTACCTGCAGGCATTATCACCACGTGGCCAGAGATGCAGAAAAAATTTTTTGAAAAATATTTCCCTGCATCTAGAGCTGCTAGTTTGCGAAAGGAAATATGTGGCATCAAGCAATTTCAGGGAGAATCCTTGTATGAATATTAGGAGAGGTTCGCCAGGCTGCGTACCCGATGCCCTCATCACCAAATAAGTGATCAACTGCTGATTCAGTACTTCTATGAGGGGCTACTGATGAACGATAGAAATATTATTGATGCAGCAAGTAGTGGTGCACTGGTGAATAAGACTACCCAGGAAGCATGGGACTTAATCGAGCGAATGGCAGAGAATTGCCAGCAGTTTGGTACGAGAGCAGATGTCCCTACGAGAAAGGTCAACGAGGTAAGTTCATCTTCCATTCAACAGCAGTTATCTGAATTGACCTCATTTGTTCGACAGATAGCTGTAGGAAATGCACAGCAGGCCAAAGTGTGTGGGATTTGTACGAATATTGGTCATACCGCTTACTCATGCCCACAGTTACAAGAGGAGGGGACTGAGCAAGCAAACATGGCTGGTAACATGCCCATGCCACGTAGACAGTATGATCCATATTCCAACTCATATAACCCGGGTTGGAGGGATCATCCAAATCTGAGCTATGGGGGAAATAAGCAACAAAATTTCATCCCAAATAGACAGCAGGGCTTCCAGCAACAATATCAGACAAGGAATCAACCTTCCTCTACCTCAGGTATGTCCCTAGAGGACATGGTTAAAACCATAGCCTCTAATACTATGAAATTTCAGCAGGACACTGAGGCCAACAATCAAGAGATGAAAGCGCGTATGCAGAACTTGGAAAATCAGATGAGTCAATTAGCCTCAATTGTCAATCGACTGGACGGCCAGGGAAAAGGAAAACTTCCATCCCAACCCGAGGTGAATCCCAAGAATGTAAGTGCTATGACCCTCAGGAGTGGGAAAGAGGTTGAAGGACTAGCACCAGTGGCTCCGAAGGATAAGAATGAGGACCGCATTGAGAAGGAGCTTGAAGAAGAAGGAACTCCCGGTACAAATAAAGAGGTAATACGTAACCCAGTGGTTCCAGTTAAGCCTAACCCACCACCTTTTTTTAGCAGGTTGGAAAGGCCTAAAAAGCAAGACAAGGAAAAGGAAATTTTGGAGATGTTTAGGAAGGTGGAGATAAATATCCCCTTACTTGACGCAATTAAGCAAGTACCCCGGTATGCCAAATTTTTGAAGGACCTATGCATCAATAGGAAGAAATTGAGGGGAGATGAAAGGATAATTGTGGGAGAGAACGTATCCGCAGTGCTTCAACGAAAACTTCCACCCAAGTGCGGAGACCCAGGTATGTTCACTATCTCTTGTAAAATAGGAAACACTAGCATTAGGAATGCCATGTTAGATTTAGGGGCCTCTATAAATGTGATGCCCAAGGCTATTTATGCTTCTCTAAATTTGGGTCCCTTAAAGGAAACTGGCATTATAATTCAATTGGCTGATAGGACTAATGCTTATCCTGATGGGGTGATAGAAGATGTGTTAGTACAAGTAAACAATTTAGTGTTTCCTGCTGATTTTTATATTCTTGATATGGGTGATGAACGTTTTTCAAATCCATCACCAATTTTGTTGGGGAGGCCCTTCTTGAGCACGGTTCATACAAAAATTGATGTTAGTGAGGGCACCCTAACGATGGAATTTGATGGAGAAATAGTTCATTTCAATATATTTGAGGCCATGAAATATCCGTGTCATTCTAATGTTGTTTTTGCTGTGAGTGTAATTGACCCTTTGGTGCAAGAAGTATTTGAGATTAATGGCAGGGATGAATTGGAGGTAGCAATTACCAAACATTTGAATCTGGAAGTAACCTGTGAAATGGAGTTAGGCATTAGTTTGCAAAGAATGGTTGCAGCCTTGCATTCACTAGGCCAAAGTCCTCTAAGGTATGATGTTGCTCCGATATTTGTGCCTGAACCACACCTAAAGCTATTACCTTCTATCGTGCAGGCACCTGAAGTGGAGTTGAAACCCCTGTCCGAGCATTTAAAGTATGCCTTTCTAGGTGAAAAAGAGACGTTACCAGTGATAATCTCATCCAAATTATCACCCACGGAGGAGGATAAGCTACTACGGGTTTTAAGGGAGCATAAGGAAGCTATAGGGTGGTCAATTGCAGATATCAAAGATATAAGCCCGTCCGTGTGCATGCATCGAATTCGCCTGGAAGAGGATGTTAGGCCGATAAGACAACCACAAAGGAGATTGAACCCCATCATGATGGAAGTGGTCAAGAAAGAGGTAATCAAGCTTCTGGACGTAGGAATTATTTTCTCTATCTCAGATAGCCCATGGGTGAGTCCGGTCCAAGTGGTGCCAAAGAAAGCAGGGGCAACTGCGGAAGAAAATCATGAAGGGGACCTTGTTCCAATTCGGAAGCCTACGGGTTGGCGCCAGTGCATCGATTACCGTAAATTGAATGCAGTGACCAAGAAGGATCATTTTCCCCTTCCATTCATCGATCAAATGGTTGAAAGGTTAGCTTGTCGTGCCTATTATTGCTTCTTAGATGGTTTCTCTGGTTATTTTCAGATAGCACTTGCGCTAGAGGATCAAGAGAAAACAACTTTCACTTGCCCCTTTGGCACTTTTGCCTATCGAATGATGCCCTTTGGATTGTGCAATGCCCCTGCAACATTCCAGAGGTGCATGATTAGCATTTTTTCTGAGTATGTAGAGAGAATAATTGAGGTATTCATGGATGACTTCAGTGTCTATGGTGATAGTTTTGACGATTGCTTAGATAACTTGACATTGATTTTGAAAAGATGCATCGAGACTAACCTAGTGCTCAATTGGGAAAAATGTCACTTCATGGTTGAGCACGGGATAGTTCTAGGACATGTAGTGTCATCTAGAGGAATTGAAGTTGATAAAGCTAAAATAGATGTGATATCTGCTTTACCTTATCCCGTAACTGTTCGGGAGGTTCGTTCTTTTCTAGGACAGGCAGGCTTCTATCGCAGATTTATCAAGAATTTCTCAAAGATCGGGGCACCACTTTTCAGGCTTTTGCAAAAGGATGTCAGTTTTGAATTCAATGAGGAGTGCAAAGAAGCGTTTGAGAAGTAAAAAATTTACTCACTTCCCCACCTGTCATCCAACCCCCTGACTGGAATCTCCCGTTTGAAATTATGTGTGATGCCAGTGACCACTCCGTGGGAGCAGTTTTGGGGCAAAGGGTGGAGAAAGCGGCGCACGCAATATATTATGCCTCTAGAGCTTTAAATGGCGCCCAACTCAATTACTCTACTACGGAAAAAGAATTCTTAGCTGTTATTTTTGCTTTAGAAAAGTTTAGACCTTATCTGTTAGGTGCTAAAGTAATTGTGTATTCTGACCATGCAGCTTTGAGGTACCCGCTGACCAAAAAGGATGCTAAACCCCGCTTGATAAGATGGATATTGCTCATGCAGGAATTTGACTTAGAAATCAGAGATAAAAAAGGAGCGGAGAATCTAGTAACTGACCACCTAAGCCGAATACTGGTAGCGGAGGAAGAATTACAATTAAGGGAGTCTTTTCCTGAAGAGCATTTACTTTCTATTAATTCATCCCCTCCTTGGTTTGCAGATATTGTGAATTATTTGGTTACTGACAAATTGCCCGCAGGTTGGCCCAAGGCAAAAAGGGACAAACTAAAAAGCGATGCAAAGTACTATGTCTGGGATGACCCTATCTGTGGAAACAAGGTGCTGACCAAATAATGAGGCGATGTGTAAGTGAAAGTGAATTCCAATCTATATTGACTTTCTGTCACTCTTTTGCATGTGGGGGTCATTTTGGTCCTAAACGGACTGCTAGAAAAGTGTTGGAAAGTGGATTTTATTGGCCTACCTTATTTAAGGATGCTTACTTGTTTTGTAAGACATGTGATAAGTGTCAAAGGGTAGGCAATTTATCCCGAAGGGATCAACTGCCACAGGTGCCCATGCTTTTCATTGAAATTTTTGATACTTGGGGTATAGATTTCATGGGTCCCTTTCCAAACTCTTGTGGATTTTTATACATTTTACTAGCAGTGGATTATGTCTCGAAGTGGGTGGAAGCAAAAGCCACCCGCACTAATGATTCTAAGGTGGTTGCAGATTTCATAAAGTCTAACATTTTTGTGCGATTTGGAATGCCACGGGCAGTTGTGAGTGATAGGGGGACGCATTTTTGCAACAAGACAATTGCTACTCTGTTCAGGAGATATGGTGTACTTCATAAGGTTTCCACTTCTTACCATCCATAGACCAATGGCCAGGCTGAAGTCTCGAATAGGGAAATAAAGTCTATTTTGGAAAAGATGGTCCACCCTGCTAGGAAGGACTAGAGCTCTAGGTTGGAAGATGCTTTGTGGGCATATAGGACCGCCTACAAGACGCCTATAGGGATGTCTCCCTATAGGTTGGTATTTGGTAAGCCTTGCCATCTTCCAGTGGAATTCGAGCATAGAGCATTTTGGGCGGTAAAACAATGCAATATGGATATTGAGGAGAGCGGAATTCAAAGGAAGTTACAGTTACAGGAGTTGGAGGAGATTCGCAATGAAGCTTATGAGAATGCGGTAATTTATAAGGAGAGGAATAAGATTTTTCATGACCAACAGATCTCAAGGAAAACATTCGAGTGTGGGCAAAAAGTTCTACTGTACCACTCCAAATTGAAGTTATTTCCAAGTAAATTACGTTCTCGTTGGATTGGTCCTTTTGTTGTGACTAATGTCTTTCATTATGGTGCAGTAGAGATCCAAAGCTTGAAAACTGAGAAGAAATTTGTAGTGAATGGTCATCGTCTCAAACCGTATTATGAAGGGGTTCTAACTGAACGGGTGGAGCTGATGCACTTGGAGGACCCTACTTGCTTAGTTTAAGCAAAGTTGTGGACATCGTCTAGCCAAAGACGTTAAAGAAAGGCGCTCTTGGGAGGCAATCCAGTTGTTAATTTTGTTGTTTTAGTGCTTAATTATTTAATTATGTCGTTTCTCACATGGGTATTAGTCACTTTCGATGTTTTCTAACTCTGATCAGGATAGGTAAACATGGCGTGCCCTCAAACGACATCAGAAACGCGACTCAAAGTCCTCAATC